ATACCATTTAGCATATTCAAATGTAATTAAAGTTTTCTCAGAGAAACGTATGATATTTTAATTGGTATGTCAAAAACATGATAATACAATGCTACTTTGATATTTATCATGGTCCTAAATGTTTAGCATATTCAAATACCATTGTAATTAAAGTTTACTCTGAGAAAAGCATAATATGCCCATGGTATCATGCCAAAAACATGATAATACCATGCAACTGTGATAAATAGCTACCATATTCAAATACCATTCACTCAGAGGAAAGCATGGTATGCTTGTAGTATCATGTCAAAAACATGGTCATACAATGATACTTTTAGGTTAGGGGGTGCCTAAAGCACAGCAGGCAGACCCAATCTGCATGGTGTAGCTCATATAACCTCTGTAACTCTAAGCTGGGGCTGATAAATGCGTATTTTAGTGCTGAGAGCATGGTGAATGAGGAGGCTCCGCCCCGGCTACACAGTCTCTGTATCTATTGACGACAGTAGAGCACAGCTGCCTGCAGAGCTGGACAGATCAAGTGTACGGGGCGCTGCTCGTACCTGTGCTCCGGGCAAATTACTTTCAGTTGATATACTTTAAGAAGAACATTCGCGGGGGGGAAAAAAACAACATTCGTTTCCAACGGAATACGGATTTCAGATAGAAAAAAAAGTTTGGATTGTGTAATTACCGGAGCGAGTTTTCGGACTTCATGATGAGCGCTGTTGTGGCCACTGAGGGCCTGTTCTTTTCCGCCTTACAGCCCAGCACCTCGGTCACCACATATGCGATCCCGACCGATGACCATCCCAGGAGGGATCAGCTATCTAAAGCCAGACGCGTCCAGCAGCAGGTCCAGCAGCGCATGGCGGAGAAATCCTCATCCTCATCCCGACTCAACGCCTCCACAGGTGAGTAGAACCTGTTGATGATCCGTTAACCGGGATCCTGTGCGCTTTAACACAGCATGTACACTGTTCTAGAATGTGCAAATAAGTTTTAAGCAAACTTTTTAAACTT